CCTATTTTGGTGCAGGAATTATGCATCAACCTAATAGTTGTGAGGACAAAACCTCGAATAAGATCGCTCTAGGTTGAGCTGTATTTTCATCACAAAATTCGCCAGTTTTTTCATAAATAAGCGCTATTTGTTAGTAACTTCATGAAATATTTTGAAAAACTCACTTTGGTGGCCACAAATAGTAGATCACCGCTTGGCGCAAACTGAATCGCGGTAACTGCTTGAGATGAGCCTTTCTGTTCAAATACCATTTCTATCGAGGACAGATCCATTACCTTCCATGCACCAGTGGCAAATCCCAGAGCTAGTAGGGAACTAGATGGGTTGACTGATGCACATGTAATGCTTTCCTACAGAAAGAAAATTTTAGGTTCTGCAGATCGCCACGAAGGATATCCCACCCCTAGGGTTCTTCGCCATTCCCGGCGCTTAGTTGACGAATCGTAACAGCGAAGGCAACCATCAGCACTTGTGGTCACAAAGTGATTTGGTTTCACAGCCACACAAGAAGTCACGTCTTCCGCATCACCCGGAAAAGCAAAAAATTGTTTGAAATCTTTGAAATTATAGATGGTTGGCTGTGAGCCTTTTTTGGATCTCTTTGCGGAATCAACAACATTATCTGTATTAACTCATAAATTGAAATGCAATCTATAGCTTCACCAAAAAGATTTGTGGGGGAGCGGATTACATAAATGGGGTTAACATAAAAAGTCACAACAGCCGAATATGTATCTGCCTTTTTTGCGTGCAAGAGTGTTTTCTCCAACGCTGAACCATCTCAAGCATCAGTTTTGTGGGGCAGTGTCTTTTCCATATTTCACTTCAGCTCTCCATTATGTGGCTTAGAGACCAAATTATGATTAGCCGCGGGTTACGGTAAAGTTTTAGCATCCCTGTACTTTTATGGAGAAAATCAGTATGCATACTACGGCAAGGAGGCCGGCTGTGTACAAAAGGATCCTTCTAAAACTAACATCTACTATCTCCTCGAAGCCAGCCTCGAAGTCTCCAGAATAGAGGGTGTTTCGCGATGTCCCAACAATGATCTTGTCACCAACTGGATTCAGCAGTACACGTGGAGTTCCAGCATCATCGGGCAGCTGGAAGCAGCAGTTGTAAAATTTGGCATTTCAAACTTCGATCATTCAAGAGTTTACCTCAACAGGTCTTCTCCTTCGTACCAAATCTGTAGTCTCCCACTCAGCGATAGTTCTATCCTTTCCAGCACTGAGTAATGTGCCTTTTTTGCTAATACAAAGTGCAAATACACCACCATGATGTACTACATGCGCCTCAATATAAGGAATTCTAGCCTTTAACATTTGCTTATAAAGATATTCACCTGCTTTTTCGCTTTATACGTGTTAGGATCCCAAAGTGTTAAGGTCCCATTTGAGTCACCCGTAATTACATCACCACTTCCAACGAAACACATGGAAAGTACTGTTTTGGGCTTGTCCTTACCCTAAAATAAGATATTTGTGAAGTGAGATTGGTGTGGCATGATTTTTGCGCATTTTTAGCTTAGGTGATACAATGTAAAGATTTGTGAGTTCATAGAGTGTCAGCAAATTTCTTGAAATTTTCCCAAGTCATCAAAATCTACCGTCCATGCTTTTGATGTTCTGAATACTTCACAGATTTTTTACTTTTTAAGTT